TTCTATTAGCACCCCGTAAATTATTTTGGACCCCCAATTTTTATCTTTTTTTTTTAATTTTAATTTTATTATTTTTATTACAATAATAACCTCAAATAAAATTACTAAAAATGACATTATTCATTTTGGGTCACCCCATCTCACAATTAAACCTACACACTTATTACATTATTAACTAGGGTTGTTTTTACATATCTGCCACTGTGCTGGAGAATCCGTATAGGTGGTCGAGTGGGCATTTTTTTAAAAAATATTAATGTTTAATATTTTTGTATTTTTGTATTTTTTTTATTATTTTGTATTTATTTTATATAAAAATAATTTAACAATTTCTATACTAACAACTATCATCAAAACAAATACAATTTTACTTAATCCCCTCACTATCAATCCCCTCCATTCTACCTCTGAAAACAAACATGGCCTTATAACTTAAGTAATCCTTTCTTTTCTTTTCTCTCCTAGGTTCCCAAATATAGTGTTAGATAACTTGGAGAGTTTTTTACTTAGTGGCATTTCACAAAATTCCATAAAAAGTAACTTGCACATACTTAGTTTAGTGACATTTTTTGAAAAATGTCATTGCCACTAAAGTTTAGTGGCATCTGTTGATAAATGTCCCTAAAACAATTTCTTGTGTCATTATTTTATAAAATGTCATAAAAATGTCACTAGAGCCTTATATGTTTGTGGTTCTATGGCATTTTTCTAAAACATGTCACCAACTATTATTTTTGTGGCATTTTCTAAAAAGATGCCACTAGTATGGTGTCACTAAAATGTGTTTTTGTTGTAGTGTCTGATTAAAAAATTTATTAAAAAATACATTTCCAAATATGATTGGAATTATCAAATATCTATTTTTTTTTTTTTGACAACTAACAATCGCCCTCGTTACATGTCCATATATCATTCCACCTTCAAATATATAAAGAGCAGGGTTGATTGGAAAGAGCGTGGATTCAAATCCCATTTTCAACAAAATATAAAATATTGATTAATATTTTTAAACATACATTTTTAATTTTTTTAAAGATACTTGTTCAAAAGAGGATGGTGGAAGGCCTGTTCTAGAGACGACAGAAAACAGTAGCAATCTTCAATCAACTTTTGGTTTCCTCAAATATCTCAACTATGTGCTAATGGTTTTGAATGTTTTGATGGAATTTAAAAACTAATGTTTTAATGGTACTCAGTACTTAATAATTTTTTGGAATTGTGCAAGGGATTGATGTTCAGTGCAATTGGGTTGTTGATCCATTTAGTCATTGTACTATTGTTTCTTCTATTGATAAATCTCTTTTTTTCGCTGATTAAAACCCCCCAAAAAAAAAAAAAAAAAACTGTAATAAACCGTCCTTTTATGTGATTGATGGAATTAACGGTGGGTTTTGTGGACTTCGGAATTGCAAATATTGGATCTTTATAGCTGCCCTCTAGGAATGGCAACGGGGCGGGGCGGGGCCGGGGATCGCACTCCCCGTCCCCGATCCCCGATGGTAGAAATCCCCCCGGCCCCGGCCCCGGCCCTGATCCCCAACGGGGAACCTCTCACCGTCCCCACCCCCGCCCCTTAACGGGGATCGGGTTTCCCCGACCCCGAACATTCCCCGACCTTAAAAAAAAATAAAAAATGTGCAGCCACACAAAACAACAGTAACAGTTTGGTATTTCTGAAGCTCCTTTTCGTCAAAACAAATAAATAAATAAATAAATAAACAAAAGATCAATTCAAAAACCTATTTCAGAAATTGGGGTTTTCTAGTTGAATTCAAGCTCAAATATTTTAAAAATTAGACAACATCAGTGACTTCATCATCATCAACATCATCATTATCACCAACAAAAAATAATTAAAAAAAAAAAAATCAAACAGATGTACATTTTTGTGCTAGATCGTACCAGATTTGGGGGTTTTGAACTAGATCTGAGGAAGATGGGTGACTGTGACGGACGGCGATGGGGAGGGGGGAGGAGGACAGCGGCGATGGGGGGAGGGACGACGGCGATGGGGAGGGGGGGAGGACAGCAGCTGTGTGGAGGAGAGCCAACGGACAGCAGCGATGGGGAAGAGGCCGACGATCGGCGGTGATGGGAGGAGGGAGATCGGCGATGGAGGGACGACGGTGACGCCGTGAGAGCAGCTGCGTAGAGAGAGAGAGAGAGAGAGAGAGGGGGAGAGACAGGCTGAGACCATGACACGAGAGACAAACGAAATGCATCTTTTGAAATGCATGTGAGTGACTCAGAGTGAGGCAGAGTCAAACATTGCACATATCTATGAGGAATATTCGGAGAATATCCGGGGAGTTAAGCGGGGATATTTCGGGGACCGGGACGGGGTTGGGATACCTATTCCCATTCCCGGCCCGAAAACAGTCGGGAATTTTATTTTTAATATCATCTCCGGCTTTATGGGGATAATTTTCAAGAAAAAACCGTTATAATCAAGATCGGGAGATCGAGTCCCCGTCGGGCCGGGTTGGAATTGCCATTCCTATCCATTTGATTGTACATTCAATTTTTCAAAATATTCATCGTTGAAAATGTAGTAGAGTCAACCGGTAATATTAATGCCATAGAATCCACTCATGTGGTTGAATTCAATAATCATTGAGAATAAATTATTTTCATAATTTTTTAATTTTTTATAAAAGATATATAAAAAATAAAAAAAATGATGTGACAATTTATAATATTTTTTTGACTTTTTAATTAAAATAGAATGTTGCCAAATTAGACTTATAATGGAAAAGAAACATCATTTTATAATGAAAGAATTAGTGAAACATTCCTCTCCAACTTTATATAGTGAGAGAGGTTCAAATATTTTTTTTTATTAGTTAAAGTCTCTTGATGAAATTTTTTGTGATTATACTAAAGAAATTTTGAAATTTCTCTATGTCGGGGCAAAATTTCTCTTAGTCAAGTGAAATTTCTCTATGAAAATGTTAAGAGATTTTAACTATATGTCATTTATCTTATAAAGTCTTAATATTAGAGACCTTAAAAAAAAAATTTCCTTTTATAATTTCAATAATTTAAATCTTATAACAAAACACTCATTTTTTATTATTATTTTGAACAAGCTACAATCCCCACAACTATTTTAATGGATGTTTGTTTGTATGATTTAAGTTATTTAAATTATAAAATTATTTTTTCTACCCAGCAAATTATGATTTAACTATTATTGATTGGTACAATAGTCTCTTATTGGTAACATCTTAGTTTGAAAAATATTTTTTACCTTTTAATGGTGAAAATATATGTATTAATTATAGTGGAGTGGTTTCAAAGATAGATTATAAATTTCAAACTGCGGATCAAAGTAATCCAAAGTTAACGGATAGATGGGTACGGATCAGGAAATTTTAGTGGACTGGACGATATTTTGCACAGTTCTAAAATGAAAATGAGATGTAAAATATAAGGCACTCAGGCAATAAGTCTACTTCTTAATCTTTTGGGCCATTAGGCCTAAGCTTTAATATTTGAACAAATTACCTGGAAGTCCTATTTAAAAGAGGAGAAATCTATTTAGTCCGACAACCTTTTGGACACTCTCAAAAGTTCACTACGTACGTATTTTTCTTCTTCGTTTTTCTCTATGCATTCGTTTTTCTCTACCTCTTTCTCTTCCTGATTTTTGGCAACCGATGACTATGCTTTACTTCTTCTCTTTTTCTTTCTAATATATAGTCACCGGCGATCAACGACTACCATTGATTAGGGTTCACCGGCAAAGGAAACGAGTTTCCAGCAAAGAAGATGAGTAGATCTACTCAAATTTGATTTGGATTTGCTCAGATCTACATCAGATTTGAGTAAATTTACATGAGATCCGACTAGATCTAAACAAAAAATAGTTGTCGGAGTACAATCTTCTCTCTCTATATATTTTTCATATTCGATCTCTAAATTTTTCTACATTTTTTTCTACTACACACTTCTATTTTCCTATTTTAATGGAGAAAATTATCAAATGCTGAACAAGTTATTTTCGAGTTTTAGTTACGAGCGGTGAAAATTGTAAAATTTTACAGTTTGAATTTTTTGATACTGAAATGAATCATGCTTTAAAACTATAAAATTTTACAGTTTCATAACATTCTTTAAAACTGTAAAATTTTGTAGTTTCATAACATGTTTTCTAATTTGATTAATAAGGATAAATGTTTAATAGAACCATACTTTGAAACTGTAACATTTTACAATTTCAAAGCTTGCCTTTCATTTTGATCAATATTAGAGATTATTTGCTTAAACCCTATAAAAATTAAAAAATAACTTATGTTTTTTTTTTCTCATTGTTACTGTTTGTTATTGTTATGTTTGTTTGCTTGTTTTTCTTTTTTCTTCTTCTTTTTTTTTTTTTTCTAATTTGTCAATATTTAGCACATTTTGTTATGTTTTTTCACTATAATTTCTTCATTTTTTTTCTGACAATATTCTGAACATTTCGTGAGTCTCCGACGATATTCTTGACATCCAGTGAATATTCTGGACATTACGGCGACTTCTAGTGACGTTCCGGCATACTTTCGGCGACTTGCAGGTGATGTTGAACATTTCAACGAGTCTTCAGTGATTGTCTGACAAAAGTCTAAGGATAGTGAAATGTAACAACGTTATTAAATTTACATAAAAAAAAAGATTATTTTGTAACAATTAAAAATATGTATGACTAATTAATACAAGTATTTTATTTTGGAATTAGATGAATTTTAAATTTTGTATATGAAACTTATTAATAAGTATCCCTTAATATTTTTGGGCCAAAAAAGATATATAATTTGTCTAAAAAGATAACTAATCAACTTATCTATGGATATTTTAAAATTACTTAATTTCATATGTTGATATTCAAGGGATATATTTTCCTATCAATTGAAATTTACCCAACTATATATCTATTAAAATAAAACATATATCACTCGTTCAATATCCTATTCATTCGCACTTTTACTAACGATGGCAGTGGCCGTGGCCGTGGCGACTTCTTTTTTAGCATGTCCTTATGACTGATAACATTTTAACTAATTTTCTCTGAAACATTTTGACTAATTTCCTCTGAAGTATATAAATGTGCAAAGTATTTTGGATTTAAAACTGACAGATAGAAGTCATAGGCGGAAATTGAGGGAGATGTTTGAAACTCGTCCCCATGTCTCCAAATGCCTTAGAGATCAAAAAACGCCTCCTTCAAGGAGGTTTCAGTTCCTTGAAGCAGCTCAAGCATGTCCATGCTCTGCTTATCCGCCTCGACCTCGATCAAGACAACTATCTCCTCAACATGATCTTCAAACTCTGCTTCACTACTGGTTCTCACACTACTACTCACTACACTAAACTTGTTTTTCACCAAACACAACAACCCAATATCTATCTCTACAATACGATCATAAGGGGCTTCGTTTCCAATGATTGTTTCGACGAAGCTATTCAATTCTATGGTTTAATGCGGAGAGACGGCTTTTTACCCAACAATTTCACTTTCCCTTTTGTTCTAAAAGCGTGCACGAGGCTTTCAGATTTCCAATTGGGTCTGAAAATGCATACCCTTGTGGTGAAAGCTGGTTTCCATTACGATGTGTTTGTTAAGACTGGTTTGGTTTGTTTGTATGCGAAATGTGGGTACTTGGGAAATGCCCATCAAGTGTTTGATGATATACCTGACAAGAATGTTGTTTCTTGGACGGCAATTATTAGTGGGTATATTGGGTTTGGTCAATTTAGGGAAGCAATTGATATGTTTCATAGGCTGTTGGAGATGGGTTTGAGGCCTGATAGTTATACAGTTGTTCGTGTTTTGTCCGCGTGTACTCAATTAGGGGATTTGAGTAGTGGAGAGTGGATACATAGATATGTAGTAGAAAATGGAATGGAAAGGAATATCTTTATAGGCACTGCTTTAGTGGATATGTATGCCAAGTTTGCAAACATGGATAGAGCTCGTAGTGTCTTTGATGGGATGCCCGAGAAGGATATAGTTTCTTGGAGTGCCATGATTCAGGGTTATGCATCAAATGGACTACCAAAAGAAGCCCTAGACCTCTTTTACCACATGCAAAGAGAAAATTTAAAGCCTGATTGTTATACCATGGTTGGAGTTCTTTCTGCTTGCAGCAAATTAGGAGCGCTAGAATTAGGGAACCGGGCAAGTAGCTTAATTGAGAAAAATGAGTTTTTGATCAACCCGGTTTTGGGCACAGCACTCATTGACATGTATGCAAAATGTGGGAAGATGACTTCAGCTTGGAAAGTCTTTAAAGGGATGAAGGAGAGAGACCTTGTGGTGTGGAATGCTGTAATATCTGGTCTTGCCATGAATGGCTATGTCAAAGCTGCATTTGGTCTATTTGGCCAAGTAGAGAAATATGGGATAAGACCTAATGAGAATACCTTCATGGGTCTTCTTTGTGGGTGTACTCATGCCGGTCTTGTTAATGATGGTCGTAAGTATTTTAATAGCATGAATCACGTCTATTCTTTGACTCCTACTATTGAGCACTATGGATGTATGGTTGATCTTCTTGGCCGTGCAGGGCTATTAGATGAAGCCCATCAACTAATCAAAAGTATGCCAATGCAGGCTAATGCCATTGTTTGGGGAGCTTTGTTAGGTGGATGTAGGGTACATCGAGATACACGACTGGCTGAACTTGTATTGGAACGGTTGATTGAGTTGGAACCTTGGAACTCTAGTAATTATGTACTATTGTCAAATATTTACTCGGCATACCAAAGATGGGATGATGCAGAAAAAATGAGGTCATCTATGATTGAGAGAGGGATTAAGAAAACGCCTGGTTATAGTTGGATTGAAGTAGATGGAGTTGTTCACGAGTTCCTTGTGGGAGACATGACTCATCCCTTATCATATAAGATATATGCAAAACTTGGTGAATGGAGTAAAGAATTGAAAGCAGCTGGTTATGTTCCGACAACAGAATTTGTGCTTTTTGATATTGAAGATGAGGAGAAGGAGCATTTCCTTGGTTGTCACAGTGAGAAGCTAGCTATTGCATTTGCTCTTATCAGCACTGCTCCAGATTATGTAATTCGAGTTGTGAAAAATCTTCGGGTTTGTGGCGATTGCCATATGGCCATAAAACTCATCTCAAAGATTACTGGTAGAGAGATAATTGTTAGGGACAATAACCGTTTCCACTGCTTTATTGAGGGGTCATGTTCATGTAAAGATTATTGGTGAAATAAGGGACAAATTAACCCTGTTATGGATGATAACATGACATGACCCTTTTACTATGTATTTTCATGGAAATTTATGCTACATTTTTAACGAGAAGGAAAACCACGTGAACCAATTTTTCCGAATAATCTCTTTCACTCTCATCTACCTGATAAGAAGAAAAATGGTGTTAGTGTTTTTGTAATTTATTGATGAGAATGCTGTCAACTGGGTAACAGACATGGAATAAGTAGAGGTTGATTGATCCTGAACTGTACAAAGCAGCCAATCGGAATGATCCTGAGCTGTACAGAGCAGCCAATAGGAATGATCCTGAATCTCTGTTCCAAGTTGTGGCCATGTCAGGTCTTGTTGAATTCTTGTGTCAACTCGGCAACGTAGCTAAGTTAGTCTCTCTCTCTCTCTCTCTTGGTCTCTTCTACTTCTTTCTTGTAGCCTACTTTTAAAATATTTTTAGTTCTGAAATTCAAACCAAATGCTGTGTAATTAGGGCATAAATTTGGATTTTTTTAGTGTTTATCATACAACTCTCGTGAATAGAATGTTAGTAAAATCAAAATATTGTTTGGGTTATGGCTCTGAGATCTGTGAATTGGAAGATTTTGAGTTTGTGGTTAAATTTTTGATATGGGAGAATGGAAGTTTGGCTTTGCTGTTAATTTTGGTGTTTTGCACTCTAATTTTCCTCCTTTGGGGCTTAAAATATGGAATGATTTGTTGTTAGTTTTATTGTTAATTTTAATAAGAGCCTAATACTGTGACTGCATGAAACAAATAGGGAAAATAACAAAACGGTGGTAACTGGGGCAAAATTTTTACAAATCAGTTGGGAGATTTAAAAAATTACAACACAGGTGGAAAAATGAAAAAATATATATTATAAAAGCATGGAATTTTTATAACAAAGGATGAAAACACTCTTGGAAATGATTTGGAAAATCTGGGTATAAAACAGATTTTTTCCTAACTTTGGTCTAATATTTAGGTGGGCCCCGTGTGTCGATTTTCGCGGGTCAAAGTGGTAACTTGTTCTATGCCGCGTTGTGATTCACATGGTATATTTGGTTGCTCAAAACCATTACCGAGTGAATGGAAAATTGAAACCAAAGTATGCTCCATGGAAATGGAGTTTTGATGAAAAATCCTTAAAGGTTTGAATAAGGCTTGTCCCACGTTGATTTGGTGGGAAGTTTTGAATGGGTTTATAAGGCATGGGATTGGAACTTGGGGTGTGCCCCAAGGGGTACCCAAGTGTTTTAGAGAAGGAGGTTATGGGCAAAATGGGCTAGACCCATTGGACCCAAAAATCACCACGCGCCGCCGTCCGGTCGGTCAGGCGGGCTGGGCCTGGGCTTGAGGCGGGCTGGGCTAGGCCTGGGCACGGGTGCGTGGTTGGGTTGGACTTGTTCGGCCCAATACCTATCTTTTTGGGTAAAAAACATTTGAATTTAATTTTATTTTTTGGTAAAATAAAATCCATAATTGAAATTAATTCCGGAAATAAACTAGTGCGGTTTTACTGTACACCCAAACAGGGCCCTTCCCGTTTTTATCTGTTTGAATTGTGAACCCAACAGATTCAAATCTGTTTAAATTCAAAACCAAACAGGTTTCATACCTGTTCAAACAGGTTTGCACCTGTTTAATTCAAAACCTGCCGCCACCAATCCATCTATAAATAAGACAACCCTCATTTGATGTTTTAGACATTCAGAAATTTCGTACTTCACCTCTGTAAATTTATTTTTCATTTTGCTGCAATTTATTTTTTTTGAGAAAGAGTATAAACACTTAGTGTGTTCGTTAGGCAAACAATTTGTAGTGCTGCTATTGTTTGTAGTTGATCATTTCATCCTAGGAGATAGACGTCCATATTCTAAAAGTACCGTGGAGAGGACGAATCTGTCTTAAGGACACAGTGTCAAACACTGGACTTGATCAGATTATTTTTTCCGAAGAAATTAATCAAGTAAGTTATTTAATTTAGTATTTTGTTTCATTTATTAATCAGGTTTTAATTTTGTTTTGGTAACAAAATAAAATCTGTTTTTATTTATTTAATTTTATTTTTAGTTTGATTTTTGTAATCAAACAATATTCTCTCATTGCCTTTATTTCTTTATATTCTGTTTGTTGTTGAGTACACAAACAGAATTAATTTATTTAAATACAATGAAGATTGTCCAACAATCTTAAGACAGACTTGTTTTTGGTATCTTCATTGTATTTAATTTTCTGTGACTTCATAAAGACATATTCTGGTTGAAAAAACAAATAGTGGTTTATATTATTTGACAGATAGTAGTAATATACTGTCTCTTTTCTTTGACAACTAGTAGTAATATACTGGTGTCATTAACAATTGCAGAATATTAATTTGTGTTACAGAAAATTATTGTGGTATATTATTTTTCTAGTTTTAGTAACAAGGAAAATGAAATTATTTTGTGTTATAATTTATTTTCTTGTTTTAGTAACTAGAAAATTAATTTTTGATTTAATTTTTTTTTCTGATTCTTGTAATAAGAGATTATGGCTACTGCTACTGAAACTGTAACTGGAAGTGGTACTCCGATTGTTACACCAACACCGGTCTCTATCCAGAACCATATTCATGTATCAATCAATCATGGAGAAAAACCGAAAAAATTTAACGGTACTGAGTTTAAAAGATGGCAGCAGAAGATGCTATTCTATCTTACAACTCTTAATTTGGCCCGGTTTCTCCATGAAAAGGCTCCGGCACTTAAAAAGGGTGAAAGTGATCGGCAAGTTGTTGCCGCTGTAGATGCTTGGAAACATTCAGATTTCCTGTGCAGAAACTACATCCTCAATGGCCTTGACAACATGTTGTATAATGTTTACAGTCCTCTGAAGTCAGCAAAAGAATTGTGGGATTCTTTGGAGAAGAAATACATGACAGAAGATGTCGGCACGAAGAAATTTGTTGTCGGTAAATTTCTAGACTTTGTTATGGTAGACTCCCAAACGGTAATTTCTCAAGTTCAAAGTTTTCAATTAATTATACATGATATTCATTCTGAGGGTATGTCTTTAAGCGACTCTTTCCAAGTCTTTGCTTTAGTGGAAAAGTTACCACCGGCTTGGAAAGATTTCAAAAATTATTTAAAACATAAACGTAAAGAGATGACCATGGATGAATTGATTGTAAGATTAAGAATTGAGGAAGATAACTGAAAGGCTGAAAAGAGGAATGGAAAAAATCCCATTGAGTCCAAGGCTAATGTGGTTGAACAAGTTCACAAACCACATAACAAAAAGAGGAAGTTTACTGGAGATGGTCCTAAACAAGGCAATAGCAACTAGAAGTTCAAGGGAAAATGCTATAACTGTGGCAAAACTGGACATCGAGCTTCTGACTGCCGTCGCCCTAAGAAGGATCATGGAAGTACAAGCAAGAAGACTACCAATCAGGCTAATGTAATTGAACTAGATTACATCTCTGACGGGGTGAATGACATCAACCTCTCTGCTGTGGTGTTTGAGGCTAATTTGGCTGGAAATCCCAAGGAGTGGTAGGTTGACACTGGAGCAACTCGTCACATTTGTGCGGACAAGAAGATGTTCACTACCTACAATGAGGCTGCAATTGGTGAATAACTTTTCATCGGAAATTCTTCTACTTCTACTGTGGCTGGACAAGGAAAAGTGATTTTGAAGATGACATCAGGGAAAGAACTGACCCTTAACAACGTACTGCATGTACCTGACATCCAGAAGAATTTAGTTTCTGGTTCTTTGTTAAGTAAAAATGGTTTTAGGCTTGTCTTTAAGTCTGATAAATTTGTATTAACAAAGAGTGGCATGTATGTTGGTAAGGGATACATGAGTGATGGTCTCTTTAAACTAAATGTAATGACAGTTATACCAAAAGTTGCTATGAATAAAAATAACACATCTTTTGCTTGTATTCTTGCGTCGAATTTATGGCATGGTAGATTTGGACATGTGAATTTTGATGCTTTGCGTAGATTAATTGGTTTAGATTATATACCAAAGTTTGAAATTAGTCATAATCATAAATGTAAAATTTGTGGAGAAGCAAAATTAACTAAGGCTCCAATTAAATCGGTTGAAAGGAAAACCGAACCTCTAGAATTAATTCATATAGATGTATGTGATCTTAAATTTATTCAAACTAGAGGAGGCAAAAAGTATTTCATAACATTTATCGATGATTACACAAGATATTGTTATGTTTATTTACTTAGAAGTAAAGATGAAGCCTTAGAAATGTTTAAACTCTACAAAACAAAAGTTGAAAATCAACTTGGTAAAACCATTAAAATGGTTAGAAGTGATAGGGGTGGTGAATATGATGCACCATTAAATGAATTTTGTGCACAACATGGCATTATTCACCAAACTACAGCACCTTATTCTCCTCAGCAAAATGGAATTGCTGAAAGGAAGAATAAAACCCTTAAAGAAATGATGAATGCCATGTTACTAAGTTCAGACTTACCACAGAACTTGTGGAGGGAAGCAATATTATCTGCTAATTATGTTCTTAACAAAATACCCCACAAGAAAACTAACAGCACTCCTTATGAATTGTGGAAAGGTCAACCACCTTCCTATAAATACTTAAAAGTGTGAGGGTGTTTGGCAAAAGTAGAAGTTCCTGTTCTTAAAAAGACTAAGATTGGACCAAAAACAATAGATTGTGTGTTTATTGGTTATGCTCAGAATAGTAGTGCATATCGGTTTCTAACTTATAAATCAGAAATACCTGATATAAATGTGAACACTATTATAGAGTCGAGGAATGCTGTGTTTTTTGAAAATGTCTTTCCTTACAAGAAAGGACAGAAATTAAGTTCACAGAAAAGAACTTATGATTGTACACAAAGTCAAGAGACTAATGACAATCAAACACAAGAGACTAGTAATGGTCTCGACCAACAGGATTTAACTGATGATGAACCAAGAAAAAGTAAGAGAGCGAGAACATCAAAATCTTTTGGTCCAGATTTCCTAACATACCTGTTAGAAAATGAACCTCAAAGCTTTAAAGCAGCAATGACAGGTCCTGAAGCACCTTTGTGGAAAGAGACTGTTAATAATGAAATTGAATCCATTATGCAAAATCATACTTGGGAATTGGTGGATCTTCCACCAGGTTCTAAACCTCTTGGATATAAATGAATATTCAAGAGAAAAATGAAAGCAGATGGTTCAATAGACAAGTATAAAGAAAGATTTGTAGTAAAAGGTTACAGATAAAAGGAAGGTCTGGACTATTTTGACACATATTCCCCTATGACAAGAATAACATCCATTCGCATGTTTATTGTTATAGCAGCATTGTTTAATTTAGATATACATCAAATGGATGTTAAGATAGCTTTCTTAAACGGTGATCTAAATGAAGAGATCTATATGGAGCAACCCGAAGGGTTTGTAGTGTCGGGGCAAGAAAAGAAAGTTTGTCGGCTTGTAAAATCACTTTATGGATTAAAACAAGCACCTAAGCAATGGCATGAAAAATTTGATCATGCAATGCTTATTAATGGGTTTAAGATAAACGAATGTAACAAATGCGTCTATGTTAAAAACACTGACCAAGGATATGTCATAGTTTGTCTTTATGTGGATGACATGCTTATCATTGAAAGCAGTCAAAATATGATCAAATCAACTAAGCAAATGCTTAACAAAAGATTTGATATGAAAGATATGGGGGTCGCAGATGTTATATTAGGAATGAAAATAACTAAAACATCTGACGGATATACGTTATCTCAATCTCATTATATTCAGAAAATTCTTGATAAATTTATCAAGGATGATATGAATTTAGCTAGAACACCTGTAGATATCAATCTTTATTTATCAAAAAATAAAAGTAATGCAGTGTCTCAGTTAAAATACTCTTAAATCATTGGAAACCTAACGTACCTAATGAATTGTACTCGTCCTGATATAGCTTATGCTATTAGTAAATTGAGTAGGTACACTAGTAACTCCGGAGAAAACCATTAGAAAGCGATCATTCGGGTTCTTAGATATCTAAGATTCACCCGTGATCATGGTTTGAACTTTACTCGATATCCAGCAGTACTTGAAGGTTATTGTGATGCCAATTGGATATCGGATACTAAAGATTCAAAATCCACTAATGGATATGTCTTTACTCTGGGAGGCGCTGCTGTTTCTTGGAAATCCACGAAACAAACTTGCATCGCACGATCCACAATGGAATCTGAGTTCATTGCTTTAGACAAAGCAGGAAAAGAAGCAGAATGGCTTCGTCACTTCTTAGAAGACATTCCAATGTGGCCAAAACCTGTGCCAGCTATTTCCATTCATTGTGATAGTCAATCTGCAATAGGCAGGGCACAGAATCACATGTATAACGGTAAGTCACGACATATTCGTCGTCGACATAATACTGTAAGGCAATTGTTGTCAAATGGAATAATCTCAATAGATTATATAAAATCCAAAGAAAATATTGCGAATCCGTTAACAAAAGGTTTGACAAAAGAGCTAATGTATAGTTCATCGAAGGGGATGAGATTAAAGCCTATTACATAAGAGTCGTTATAATAGTAACTCTACTTATATGATTGGAGATCCCAAAAACTAAGTTCAAAGGGACAAGTTATGTATGGCTCGCCAGAAATCAGCAAGGAATTAAAATTCCTTACCCATTCCTATGGTGAGAGTGATATCTGCAACATTTGTTGTATGCAGGGGTATAAGGATAAGCTTTGCTTTTAATAATTACTTATATCTTGATTGAGGCATAAAATCAAGACGAGTATAAAGAGATACTCACCTATATGAGTGTCGAACTGGGGCCGGTTCTATGAGAATGCAAAAGGCTAAATTCTCTAGAAACACTCATGAAAACCAGGAGCGTTCAAGGCCAAAATGAACACAACAGTGAGAACCACGATGCGTTAGAAGATATTTTGTGTGAAATCTATTGTCTTGGCTTACACAAACGACTGAACAATTCAAGGCATCGCGTCCATTGGTTAGCTAGTAAGTCCGATAGGTTATCACTAGAGAAGGCTCAAGGCCGAAAGCTACCTATCCTGATGCAAGATATTTTCGACTTATACTCTTTCGATAAAGTCTGCATATTGTTGCATTTCCGTTGTCATCAAATTCAATTCATGTGGGGGATTGTTGGAAATGGTTTGGAAAATCTGGGTATAAAACAGATTTTTTCCTAACTTTGGTCTAATATTTAGATGGGCCCCGTGTGTCGATTTTCACGGGTCAAAGTGGTAACGCGTTTTATGCTGCGTTGTGATTCACGTGGTATATTTGGTTGCTCAAAACCATTACCGAGTGAATGGGAAATTGAAGCCAAAGTATGCTCTATGGAAATGGAGTTTTGGTAAAAAATCCTTAAAGGTTTGAATAAGGCTTGTCCCACATTGATTTGGTGGGAAGTTTTGAATGGGTATATAAGGCATGGGATTGGAACTGGGGGTGTGCCCCAAGGGGTACCCAAGTGTTTTAGAGAGGGAGGTTATGCGCAAAATGGGCTAGACTCATTGGACCCAAAAATCACCACACGCACGCGCCGCCGTCCGTCGACCGGATGGACGGGCTGGCTGGGGCTGGGGCTGGGGCTGGGCTTGGACGCGGGTGCGTGGTGTGTGGTTGGGTTGGGCTTGTTCGGCCCAATATCTATCTTCTTGGGTCAAAAACATTTGAATTTTATTTTATTTTTTGGTAAAATAAAATCCAGAATTCAAATCAATTCCGGAAATAAACTGGTCCGATTTTACTGTACACCCAAACAGGGCCCTTCCCGTTTTTATCTGTTTGAATTGTGAACCCAACAGATTCAAATCTGTTTAAATTCAAAACCAAACAGGTTTCATACCTGTTCAAACAGGTTTGCACCTGTTTAATTCAAAACCTGCAGCCACCAATCCATCTATAAATAGGACAGCCCTCATTTGATGTTTTAGACATTCAGAAATTTCGTACTTCACTTCTGCGAATTTATTCTTCATTTTTTTGCATTTTATTTTTTGTGAGAAAGAGTATAAACACTTAGTGTGTTCGTTAGGCAAACAATTTATAGTGCTGTTATTGTTTGTAGTTGATCATTTCATCCTAGGAGATAGACGTCCATATTCTGAAAGCACCGTGGAGAGGACAAATCTGTCTTAAGGACACAGTGTCAAACACTGGACTTGATCAGATTATTTTTTCCGAAGAAATTAATCAAGTAAGTTGTTTAATTTAGTATTCTGTTTTATTTGTTAATCATATTTTAATTTTGTTTTGGTAACAAAATAAAATCTGTTTTTATTTATTTAGTTTTATTTCTAGTTTGATTTTTGTAATCAAACAATATTCTCTCATTTCCTTTATTTCTTTATATTCTGTTTGTTGTTGAGTACACAAACAGAATTAATTTATTTAAATACAGTGAAGATTGTCCAACAAACACCCTTATCTCTTTTAGCCTCTTCTGCAAACCCCCTCTAGCCCCTTCCTCTGCTCTTAATTGCCACCCCATCACTTCTCTAACCTCCGTCACCCATCCCCTCCACCCTCCACCTCTCCCCTACCCACCCCCGACACTCTTCCATCCCTCCCTCACCCATCCTTGCACCCCCTCCCCGTCCCCACCCAACCCAACAGCCTAGTCAACTCAAATTCTAGCCACCAGAACCATCCAAACCCTTCTAATACCTCTCGTTGCCACCCTGCACCTCCTTTTCCCGCTATTGCAAATTTTTGCAAGATGCAAGTGGATTATGTGCGGTGTTGTCTCCTAGTTTCCAATCTCTACTTTTGTGAATGCTTGCACATATTATTTTATAAAACAAGGGGGGTGCATATGGTATGCCCTCTATAATAAAAGCATAAAATTTATGGCATAACTTTTCTCATTACCAAAAGTATAACTGGTGTAGGATAGTGCTAGATTTTGAAAACAGATGTTATTTGACGGCCTAAATAGTAAGTAATTTATGATTTTAATGGTTAAATTGAAGGCTAATAGGTAGGGGAAGGGATTATGGTTGAAAAGTGAACTTTTTGAGTTTTGTAAATAGTAACCCGAGAATAGCAACTAGTGTGCATTGAAGAAAAAAGAGAAGAATAAGATAGATCTAGGAATCACTCCTAGAATCCCTTAGGCATCACAACCAGGGTTTGATTGCATCACACAATCCATAAGAAAGCTTCAAAGCATTTCAAATTCTCTAAAATATGAACTCTATTAAATTATAAGCATTAGATGGCTTTATATAGAACTAGTAGACTTCCTAAACTAACTAGAGCAAAAAAAGGAAACTGCTTAAACTACTTTGACTTTCAAAACTAATTTAAGACAAAAAAATAAACATAAATAAAAATCAATTGAATAATCCTTATAGCCTAAGTCAGCAAATATTAAAATTACTTCAATACCCCTACCATATAATTCATAGAAAACATAAAAATAATCATAAAATAAGACTCTAATAATACTAAAAATATAATCATATTAAATATGATTCCTATAAGTTTCTCTTTGAAATCACGTCAATGTCCAAATATCATCGTTTTTTTTTGAAGAGGCTTCCTTGAGCTTCTTATATTTTGCATCAATAACTTTAGCTTATCACAAAAGTATGACTTTCACTTTAAAATGCACATTATAAATTCGCCAATCATAACTTTTGCCACAAATTGGCATAACACATGCCACAAACATTCATAACTTTCACCACAAAAGTCATTAACTTCTTTACGATGTGCCCCTTTTTAGGGTGTTCATCATAGATTTTCCCATAAAACAAAGGTACAAATGAATACAACTGATTTTTTATTGGTACTGAGGGAACTGCATTCAGCAGCCTTGCAAATTCAAAGTCATAATTGAGCTATCACATTCATAAGTTATTGATGTTTAGTACTCATGCTCATTTGTTTTCCCTGTTTAAGAAAATTACTCTTTTTTGTCTGTATTGTACTAGTAGTACCCTGATGAGGTTTTAGAGTCATGGAATAAGGAAAATATTAAAACTGACAGCAAATTAGTTTCACGAACAGCAGCTTATTTTACTTGAAATGTAATATGTATGTTTCAGATTTTATATGCTATAGATCTCCCTTGTTCAGTGGATTATCTTGGAGCAAGGGGTAAGATTTGTTCTATTTTGTTACTAATGGACTAATATGTTTATCTATTATTCATTGTGTTTTATAGTTGAATTGAAGAAGCAGTGCTCTTGCTCTATTCGACTACTCAATAAATCCTACAATCATGTGGCTTTCAAGGTGCACACATTTTGTTCACAAAAGTATTTACTGCTGAAACATTGGATTTGCGAATTTGAAAGTTGGATAGAAATATAACACACTGATGTAATTGGCAGGTTAAAACTACATCTCTGAAGAAATATTGCATGCGACCAAGCATCGCACTATTAAACCAAAATTAGCTTGTGATTTCACTGGTATGTTATAACTTATATTGCGCCTGAAGTTTATATATTGCTAAGTTCTTAGAAAAAGAAGAAATTAAATCAAAACTACTATGTTTGCTGGGCATACATATAAAATTAATTAAGTATTGATAAAAAGGGAATGGATAAGGCTTTCACTTGTCTCGAAAATTGAGTAAGGAGTACTGCTCATTTGGTTTGTATTTGAATAGAAATACTTTCTTATAGAGTATTTGAACTTAGTGGATGGCAGTAAGTATATCAGGATCTATGGAAACATCATGATTCATAAGTGATAATGAAATTAAATTGATATCATGGTAAACTAACTGAAAGATTGAAACTAGTATGTTTGCCTAGGCATACATATAAAATTAATTTAGTATTGATACAAAGTGGTCCAGCCTATTTTTGCAATCCATCTCATAATCCAGACTGATCATCAACTAAATTTACTGTTCTTTCTTCATATAACATCAGGAAATCATGTCGGTGCACATTAATTCTAAGTTGACTTTATTCCGGGTTCTTTTTTTTCGTCAACTCAGTCTCAAGTCTCAACTGATACTTTGATATGTGGAGATGCATTAACTTGTTGCAAAGGGAAAAAACTATCTATGTTGTTAATTGGTTGTTCATATTCAGAGCAGATTTTGGGAGGTATTAATGTGATTCAATTCAGTAGGACTCCTTCATTGACTTAGCTCATGCTCTTCAGGGTTAGACGTGCAAAGCATGTGTTGGTGTTCATGGAAATTGAATTATTCCACCCTATTTGTTTCATCTCCAGAATATGCAAGTTCTATTATCATAACATTTAATAATAAGGCACACTCAGATGTACTGTCATAATTGAAAAGCCCAATAAATACGAAATGAATGACTTGCTCTAACATTCGAGTTAAGCAGGTTACCTTATGCTTTCTCTGAATTCAATCTAATATTGTTTTGATTCTTAGTTATCTATTGTTAATTATTGGAGATAAGAATTGAAAAGGTTACAGAATTTGAAACAAACATAAATTGCCTAAGGTTCTGTTTGGATGGATGGATGTCAAATAAAGGGATTTGAGGTTAAACTTTTTTAAAATTTTAGGGGAAATTACAATGACACCCCTTGAGGTTTACTTTGATTGCATTAATACCCTGACCTATTGGAATTTACATTCTCCTCCATGAGGTTTACAATCACATTACAAATTCCCCCATCAGTTAGTCAACAGTTAAGTCAACTAACAGTTTTTTTATGATGTGAGCAATTAATTTTTTTGAAATGCCAATTTCGGTTTTCAATCACATTTACAAATTCCCATCCATTAGTCAACATTAAAGTCAATTAATAGTTTTTTATGATGTGAGCGATTAATTTTTTTGAAATGCCAACTTGGCCCTACCATTCTCTTAGGGTGTTTGGAAAGTTGCTATTTTAGTAGGTTATTTAGTTTTTGGCTATTTTAGGAGGCTAAAATTTTTGTATTTGGAAAGATAGTTGGGTTTTTTTGTAGTTGAATGTGATGTTTATGAGAGAAAAAGTAAAATGATTATGGATTTGATGTGACATTTTGCCTTATTAGTTATTTTAGCATATTTTGTCTTTTAGTGTTATTTTAGCCAAAAAAGCTAAAAAAATCTTCTTCCCAATATTTCAACCTCTTTTCTCTCTCTGTATGCACAGCAGCAAAAGAAAACTGTTGTTTACTGTTGGTGACAGCTTCTTTGATGTGATTGCTATTGTTTGATGAAAGGATAAAGAGAAAAATTGTAGAGAATGTTGTGGGATTTTCCTCACATTCTCTCACTATATTTGATGTATAGTATTTTTATGTGTGCATATGTGTTGAATATGATTCACATATGACATTTTGTTCATGCTTTTCAATTGAGCTGAGCAAACAATGCAAAAACACAAGTGATAAAAACACACTAATATAAATGAACAATTGGCAACTGGCTCAGCAGGCGTGAGCCAAGTTGACAACAAGAACATTACCAACCCGCCATGAACAACCATACCCACTGGCCACCAAGTCTCACTGCTCCACCCCCACAATTCATGAATTATCGAACAATTAACCAAGATTATCTATGGATGAACTAGCCAGCTTCAATTATTTTTATTTATTTATTTATTGTTTTTATTTTTTTGTAGCTACTGCTTGGGCATGGGACATGAGAGCATCAAAAGCTAAGGGGCTATGAGAAGCTGAGACTACAAAATGTGAAGCGTTTGCTTGGTGGCCCTGCCTAGCTCAGTTGAAGGAAGTTTTGAGTTCGTGATTGGATTATGAATTTAGATAGTGATTTGGAAGGAACAGAAAAAAAATGTGAATGAAATATAAATTAATTAATTTTTTTCATTTCCATGTTGTTTCCAAATTTTTGTCTAAAATTATGATTCAAGCACATGGTGATGAGAGAAATTTTTGTTTGATTTGTGGCCCAGTCATTATTCATCTCCTTTTCCGCCAAATTAATTTCTCAACAAACTTGTTGGTTTTGTTTCGTTTTCATGATTGATGATGATGTAGTACCCGAGTTCACGTGGATTATAATGAAGGAAAGGGAAATGCCAATAATAAAAAATAAAAAATTTGAAAATAAAAGTTGAACTTACGATTTCAATAATAGATTTTATATCAATATATATTATAAAAATTTATTAATTTGTATAACATTAATTACAATAAATATATATTTGTGGATTATGAATTTAAGTAGAAATTTAAAAAGAAAAAAAAATGTGATCCACCTTCTTTTCTTTCTTTTTTTTTCAAATTTTTAAAATTCTTATTATAATCTAAACACAGCTTAAATGCAATGCACACGAGAGCTTCATTAATAGGAGTGGACCTTGTTTGGAATTGATTGAATATACCACTATGAGGAAAGGTCTTGGTTTTATTATGATTAGCAACATCACGGAAGAAAAACGATAAAAGAGAAATAAATACATGCAGCTCCCTGCCTATTTAACAGATAATGATTTCAAATGCAAAAAAGAGACAAGGTCATCATGATATATATATATAGTTAATCATATATATATATTATTAACTTAAATAAATATATTAAATCATATATATATATTATTAACTTAAATAAATATATATCTATATATATAACAGTTGAATTTATAATGATGTGTTTTTTTGTTTTAAGATAAATTACAAATATATTTCACAAAATGGTATTATTATCCATGTTTGGTTCTAGAAAATTAAGTTATTTATTTTTTGTTTTTTTATTTTTAGTGAATTTTTAAAAATATTTTACACAAATTTTTTATTTTTTGTAGATACACCTAATCTAAATACACTTAAAAAATATTTGTGAAAAAACCTTAAACAAATTCATCAAGTACAAAAAATATACAATAAAAAGAAAAAAAAAACAAAACAAAACAAAAATTCAATACATTTTCATATTTTCTTGTATTCAATGATTTTTTTTTAAAATTATACAAATTTTTTTTACTTCTTAAGTATATTAAGATTAAGTGGATTTAAAAATTAAAATATTTCAAAAAATCAGTAAAAAAAAAAATATGAATTGAAAATTCAAATAACTATTTTTGAAAATTCAAAACCAAACAAGGTGATTGTCATTTTCTTTGAAATGATATGAACAAAACATCTACATTTTTTTATTAGTTTCTACATATAAAGGTTTAGGGGCAAAAATGTCATTTTTATCCTAATGTTAACTCCATCAAAATAATTATACTGTCATAAGAGTTAGTGTGATTTCTCAAACATGAAGGAGAAATTTGTATTAAATCCAAACATTAAGGGTGTTAGTGTAATTTACCTTTTATGTTTTTATTTTATTTTATTTTTTGACAATAAAGTTATCTCTCATAGTGAAGGTTAAAGGCTTTGTTTGGCATAAAAAGCCTAGGCTAAAATAGTCACAAAAAATAAAATATGTTAAAAAATTAATAAAACAAAACATCACATCCAAATCATAATTATTTCATTTTTTTTCTCACAAAAATCAAAAAAGTCAAAAAATTTATTTCATATGAGACTTTTTAACCTTAAGCTAAAATAGCTAAAAAAAAATCAAAAAATCAACCCATATTCCAAAACAAGGCAAAGTAACTTCGCTATAGCCATTCTTTATGATACACTTGGTTGCAAATAGATACCAAGCTTAACATTATTAAAAATGAATTATACTACACTCACCTAGGGATGCAACTCGGGCGGGTTTGGTCGGGTTGGGAAGTTATCCAAGCCCAGCCCAAGTTGTGCTGAGATCTGTCCAGGTCCACCCAAGCCTGAATTGTAATCCGGGGTTACCTGCCCAAGCCCGATCCGAGTTAAACTCGAATTGCTCGAGTTGCCCGAATTGCCTGATTTTTTTTTTTACAGCTACATTATTAAATTATTAAAATTTAACTCTATTTACATTTTTTTTATATATATAGAAAATCATTAATACCATTAAAACAAATAATTTATATAATGTAATAGAGATGCCGCTATAGTAGTCTTTACAATTTATGAGTGAAAATAAAAATAAAAATAAAAAAGTAAGATTTTACGTTATTTATATATACATATAATATATTCAGCATGATTTAATAATCTAAATTACTTTAATATCATGTAATAGCTAATAATTTGTATATATATATATTTAATATTTTTATATAACTATATATTTATAATTCAGGTTTCGGGTTGCTCGGTTTGTTTGATGTCTTTGCTCAAGCCCGTCCAAATTTAATTCGAGCTTCTAAAATTTTGCCCAAACCCGTACTAAATTTGAAAGTATTTTGTCTAAGCCCTAAAAAAATTCAGGACTTACCATTTACATTTAGGCCAGGTTTGTTTGTACAAACAAAATTAGATTGGATTAAGATTTTTGTGATTATTAGTGATGGAAATATTGATTTTTTTAGATTATGTATCTTCTCTTATGTTTAGATTGATCTAAGATTGTAGGGATAGATTGATTTGGTCTGTGTTTCTCAAAAAATTTTGGGAAAAATTCTCTACAAATAAGTTTTCAAAAGTAGTCAAACCAAACAAATTTTTCCAAAATTTTTTTCCAAAACTTGTTTGGTTTACAAGTTTTCCAAACAAATCTCTCTCTCATACACATCAAATCAATCACTTTTTCCAAAACTCTCTCTCAAAATAATTTTTCAAAACATCTTTTGAAAAAAAACCAAACAAAACAAATTTTCGTACTTTTTATCTCAAAACATGTTTCTCAAATACAAACCAAACAAGCCAATCAGTCCAAACTACCGTATCTTCACATTTTCTTTTGGAATTCAATAGTCTCCATATGTGGGTGAACTATTAATGTCAACCCTTATTTTCTTTAGCCAAATGAGAGCTAGATTTTGTTGAATTATTAATCCAATCCCAAGATCGTATATGCCTAAACAAACACAATCAATAAATATTATTTATTCTAATAATATTTAATCTTCAATTTCAAAATTCTAATTTTTCTTGAAAAAGTTAGTGTAATATCACTGTTCAACTTTGGATAATAAGAGAGATTCAATATGTTTTTTTTTTAATTAATTAAGGTCTCTCGATAAAATTTCTCTGTGATCATATTAGAGAAATTTCAAAATTACTCTGTGAAATCAGAGAAATTTCTATATGTCGGGAAAAAGTTTCTCTTTGTTAAATTTTATGTATAAAAATATTGAGAGACCTCAATTACTATAAAAATATTATATATTATTTATCTTATAAAATCTTTAATATGACGAACCTTTAAAAAAAATCCCCATTTTTCTCCCATTCCCAACTAGAACCTAATTGAGTTCTTTATTTCTACACGTAAATTAGGATTAGGGAGTGTCAAAGAGCCATCATTCGGAGTAATTATCCGGTTTTCGGGAGAATTCCATATTGACGTTCTGCCTAACTAATAGTAAGTGATAGAAATGCTTACGGATCGATTTTGGCGGTTTAATTTGTAGTTTGGGTTTATCCGTATGTCTATGGTTTAGGAAAAATTAAACTCCTAATCGCCTGCAATACAGATTCCGTTTTGTACAGATAGGATTCGCAGATGTGCGAACAGTTATGAACAGTTTACGGATTAAGATTTTTCTTTTAAAAATTTATTTTTTGACTTATTTTTTCCCATGTTTTAAATATTTTTTTATTACAGAGGATTCAACACTATCCCTCATTAAAATTAGATTACAAAAAATTATAATGAAAATTAAATAAAAACCAATATAGAAAAAAAAATATCACGTAACTAAATTTGCAAAAAATTGAAAAAATTCCAATTGAGTAATAAGTATTTCAAATATAGTACTGTGTGATATTATTATAATGTTAGAACCTGCAAGTTTGATAATCAGATTAAAGTAAGTGAGAGAAGAGAATAGGACATACTTACAACCACCCATTACGTGATCATCATCCAAACGCATAATAAAAATTAATTTGGTAAAATAAATAAATAAATAAATATGTAAAAGATTTATCAAATTTGCATAATTTTATTTTTTGTCAAATTAGTTTATATTTTATCAAATTGACGATTTTGTCCTTGAAATTGAGCAATAGTATTTTCAGTTGTTCTTATTTGGAATAAGATTCAAAATTTATGGTCAAATATATCACAATTGAAAAATCAGGGACTAAAGTAATACGAGCCCCAAACTATAGAGAGTGTTAGTATAATTCATCCTAAATTTATTAAGGAATAGTAAAATTAAAATAAAACAAAATTACTTGTGGTAGTTTAATATTTTACAAGTAACCAAACAAGACAATTGAGTTTTTCTGACAAAATGCCTATATTTTTTTTTCCTTCTTATAATTAAACAACTGTGTTTCTCCCCTTTATTTTTATTTCCTTTTCTTTTCATTCTCTTTAGAACCAAGTGTTAAGTTTTGTGAAGCGAGCAGACATGACATGGATGAATAGGAGCAGCTTGCCTCCAGTCCCAGATGAGATTGGACGGTATTGTTCAGCCTGTGACGGCTCACAACAGGTCTTGTTTTAATAATCTAAATCGTTCAATATGTAGAACTCGTCGAGTACTGTATGCCTGTAAAAAATTACGTTGATCGGATATCGATAGCCATGTAATCAAATTAGTTTTGTATAAAAAAAAAATGGACGGTAAACAAATTAACGATTGATAAAAAAACAAATCCGATGAGATAGCTATCGATTTCCGATCAACGTTACTTTTATAGATATATAGTACTCGACGATAACTACATATTGGACGGTTCGAATTACCAAAGCAGGGACTTGTGGTGGGTCCCCACAGGCTGGACAGCACCGTCCAGTCTAATTTTTGACTGGGGGCAAGCTGCTT